TTGGGTATTTCCTTGATATTTCTGGGTGACATGGGTGACTGGGTGTGAATTTTGTGCCAGTGTAGAGCTCCTCTCTTGCTCATGCTTATGTGGAGGCTCTTCAAGTGCTGCTTCCTAGGGTCAAACCATCACTCTGTTCCCCGTCTAGGAGCACATCCCATGGTGTTGTGCTTCTTGGGTAGTTGAGCTTTTCTTCTGCTGAGAGCAAGCATCTATCAGTGGTGTATGGGAGCCTGTAACACTGCTCATGAGCAGGCTCCTACGTGAATTCTGCCTTCCTAAGACTAATAATAAGAGCAGAATGCTTACAAACCTCTCAAAAATCTGTTTGTGGTAACATGGAGATCCTCTTCAGGAAAGAGGGCTCAGCCATCAGCAAGGAAGAGTTTGCCTCATGTGAACATAAGAATTGTTTTCTCAGGTGAAATTTAAGGTCTGTCTAGCCCCGGACCCTGTTTGTAGCTTTTCCCACAATTAGATGTCCAAGGAAGCGCATGGGAATACAGAAAGCTACTAACAATGCTTCTCCAGACTATTTTCCCTATCTCCTACACTCTTCCGCAGAATATTCTCCCAGGGTAGAATATTCTCAGGGTAGAATATCTCAGGTTTATGTTCAACATGAAGCAGTAACAGTTTTAACTGGAGAAGACACGGAACCAGGTAAGGCAAATGGGTAAACTGAATGAAAACATACTGCTGATCTTGGTAGGTGGCAGTTCATTGCCTACAGGACTAGGCATGGACTAGGATAAGGACGGATGATCACAGTATGCTAACTTAGAGTGAGCTGAGATGAACAATCTCCAGCGTATGAGCACTCAAAATAACTGAAAATCAGAGAATCCACAAAAAGCAAAGTGAGCTTAGATCGTCCTAGGTTGTGCAGTGTGTTGCAGTGTCTGATCTCCTCAAATGTAACAGCTTTGAAGGAGCAGAAAACCCAGACAAGCCTTCCACAAAAATATTGAAATTAAAAAGGGCGATTGCTTAAAACAGAGGAAAGTGAAATATATGGAAATTAGAAGAAACAGCTAAAACAGCAGAATGCTTGCAGGCAGTCTGAACGCTTTTTAAAGATGTGATGTCAGAAGTTTGGTATCAATTAATATGATTATTCAAACAGACTTGAAAAGAACCATAACAATCGCTAGCTTGTTTGATTAGCAGAGTAAAAGGTGAGTACTTGGTTTAAAAAAAATCGGTGTCCTGTCCAAGTGAGTGACATGTGGAGACAACTTCCCTGTTGGAGCTGACAGATGATTCAGACATAAATGGTCACCGTGACAGCAAAGCAGAGCGAATTCCTTGCTTGACTATGAATTAGGGAACAAGTTTTGGTGGTTCCCATACCTTAACTTTCCTTTATGGAAATGATCCTCAAAAGCTGCCTCACAGTATCAGGTGAAGCAGTTTTCTAACAACTTGATCAGGTGACGAGTATGAAGTCACCAGGGCGAGACGGCATTCACCAAATGCCACAGTAACTCGAACATGAAGTCACTGAGCTATTAACTGTGATGTGCAACCTCAAGTTTTAAATCAGCCACAGGAATCAGAGGAACTGGTATTACCAATGTGATTCCAGTTTTTAGGAGCTCCAGGAAGAGGCTCCGACAAGCCTGACCATCATTCCAGACAAGTAGGTAGCCTCTAACCGAAAGTGTGGATGGATATGGTGGAGTGGGGAAGAGCAACATAGGGTTTGTAAAGGGAAATCAGGCCTCCTAGGTCTAGAAAGCTTTCTGAAGCATCTGCGATTGTGTAGATAAATGTAGTCCAATAAAAATGAGGTGCTTGGATTTCCCAACAGTGATGCTTTGCAGAAGGATTTGCTGGTACTGGGAAGCTGAGCAATAAGACAGCCAGTGAGGGTTGCATGGGAGTCTGTGACTATTTCACTGAAATCCTCAGCGCTGCGCTTGGCACTGGGCCATCAGGGGCCCAAACATCAGGAATGGCTAGTGAAGGCAGAAGGGACGAAAGGGAAGACTTTCTGTAGCACAGAATAAATCTGAGGTACACCTGGGCCTGGGAGATGACTGGCAGGTTGGTTCCCACTTCAGAAGTGAGGTGATAGTGCTGGAAAAGGTACAGAGAAAAGGGCAAGAGGTACGGTCAGAGATGTGGAGGAGACGGACTCGCCTGGAGCTCTTTGTTCTGGAAGAAGGCACGTGAGAGGACATCTGACAGTCGTTTGTGAGTTCAGTGCTGCGCTTGCATCGCTCTCAGCTCCATGGCACGTCCTCGTGCTTGCTCCTGGCCAGCCAGCCTTCGCTTCCTAACAGTGATTTCTCCCATCCCCGGGGATGGCTGTGGCTCCTGCCAGGGTGCTGTACAGCCCTGTGACATCCTACTGAAGCCACCTCGATGTTTGCCCATCTCCGCTGCGCACAGACGCAGAGCTAGCAGAGGGAAGGCCACGCTCAGGGAGGTCCGTTGTCCGTGCTTGCTGGGTCCAAAGCTGGTGCTGAGAGCGCAGGCATGTTTTTGAGGTCTTTTCTGTGTTAGGGAAGTGGAACAGCTCAGCTTGGCTGATGCTCTGCGAGCATCCTGTGGCACGGTAACGCACTGCTGCTACCCACTCCTACACCATGTCTATCAGTTCCTCCGCTGACACTAGCATCATCCAGCAGGATGAGTATTTGCATCAGGAAGGCATGTAACATGTTTTCCTTGTATTTATTATGCTGGAGTGGGCATGAGCAGAGAGTCCCGTAGACTCGGACCTGTGCTGTGTGTTGCAGGGAACAGCGGCTTGGGGAAATACCACAGCAGGTTCACCTTCGACACCTTCACTCACCACCGCGGCTGCCTGCACCGCAACATGGGCCTGGAGGCCATCAACGCCCTGCGCTACCCGCCGTACAACCAGCAGAAGTTGGGGCTGCTGACGGCCGCCTTCGAGATCAAGCGCAAGGGCATGTGCACCCTGCTCTGAGGGCTGCCGCGCGCTGCCCGGTGCTACTGCCCAGACTCCCTCACAGACTGGGGAGAAGACCTCCTGGCGTGGCCCCAGTGCTGGCCCCGGGAACCCAACCACTTTCCGCAGGAGGCCGGCACGCTCCTTCCATCCTTGCACCGGTTGCCTTGCCATGTCCTTTGCCTCGCTGCCGCCCCTACACGTGTAGGACAGCGGGGGCACTCATTTGCGTCCGGCCAGTCCTATTTGTGTGCTTCTCCCCAGCTGCCTCTGCTCTGGACCGTTTGCCCTGACAGGCAGATCTGAAATGACAAAAATTTCTCTGGCATGACCTGATGCCCTGCTTTCTCACCCTACATTTCTCTTCCCAGGAGAGGAATGATCTCCTCAACGCTCAGGACCAGCCATTAGCCCTGTCTCTAGTTAGATGACCTTTCTCTTCCAGGTGAACCTTGCTCTCCCTGCTTTCGATGTCAGCTGCCACTTCTTCCTCCGTGTGACCCTGCCTTTAGTAAAGACTTTGCATTGAGCTCTGCTGCCTGGCCTCCCCCTGCGCCACCTTTGCCCGGCCCGGTTCAGGTTCGGGGGCACAGCGGGCAGGAGATGGGGCCAGGCGGCAGGAACCTGAAGGAACTGCTGTAGCTAAGCCCTGGAGAGCTGCCGGCTCTCCTCGCCTCCTACTCCCCAGGCAATGGCATGGAGAGGAGCCTGGGGTGCAGCCCCGAGAGGGCACCCTGCTGCGATACCCTGTGGCCACCCAGGCACCCAGGCAAGACCGGGTAGGACTGCCCCACAGCGTGAAGAGCCAGGGTGCCCTGAGCTGTGGCAGCGCCTGCTCCTCTTGCCTACCTACACCCAGGCCCCCAGGAAGGATGCTGAGGGGCTGGGGGGGCATC